CACCTACACACACTTACATCACAAGCTCTCTCTCCGTCACTCTTTGAGTCATTGACAGACTTGTATTTATTCTCAATGTTACAATTATACGAGTGAAATATAGCCCTGACATTTCCCTTGCTTCTGTGCAGAAACAAAGTGCACGTTGTAGTATTATGACGCTCATTATTCGTCCATTCGTTCCGCAGTTTTAGCTGTTAAATGAACCGAGAAAATGTTTTTGTTTCAGCAGCAGCAATGTAAAACAACGTACGAGCAACAAGCCTATCAGGATGTTTGACTAAAGCTGAACTGTTGTTTTTTTTTTAAACAAGAGGGGAAGAAAAGCCTCCACTCAGGACTCCTTTAAGGCCCATCTTCTCATGTCACTGTACATTTCATGGCAAATGAAGACAAATGCTTGTGAGAGCACACCAAGTTCCAGGGGAGCTTTCAACAAATTAATCACTTGCAATCCTATCCTTGTCCACTTGGGCGCCTGGCGGGTCCCCGATGCAGCGTCCAAACGTACGTAATGAGGGTCTGATCGTCTCTTTACGAGCCCCTCCAAACAAGAAAAACATAAATGAATAAGTGAAGCCACCTCTCCGGAGGGGCGTCCTGTTCTTCAGATGGTGTGGCGCCTCGACCTCAAACATCACCCCTCTACCCAGCTCCCTCCTCACATCAGGATTTCATTAAATGGTGAGCAGAAAACCGCCCCCAACCCAGCCTACTCCATCACCACCATCACCCCCTTTCTCCCCCCTTTTGCTCTCTCCTGCGCCACTTTGCTCCCAAACCAAATGAGGAAATAGCTCGTCTGGCCGCTGACAGACCTCGGGTTTGGCCGTAAAGATAAATGACCCAAAGTATTAAAGTTTAACACGTTGACAAAACCCACCTGATCTGTGGGATTAATGCAACAAAAAATCCATCTGTGGAAAAAAGAAAGGAGGAGGAGGTGATGGGGACTCACAGGAGAGTAATAGCCCGGCACGGGGAAGGTCAAATAATATTTAGGATAAGTACACATCCAGTGTTGAGAGGCAGAACTTTACTGAGCTGTGATGTTATTTCTCATGTCTGTGTGTTTAGTAATTCGTCAAAATGTGAAAATGTACTCAACAACACAAACAGAGTAAGACTTAAGATGCTTTATTTGGTCGCATGAAGTAGACAAGGAGTGCTTTTACTCAAATTCACATTAATAATCTGATGTCATTCAGAGCAGAGGGTTAGTTTTGGAGTTGTGTCTTGGATATGCATGCATCAAATACAATTTCATACATACATAATCTCTTGTTCCCCCCCTGACTGAAACGCCTCTATTGGACTCCTTGGTTAACTTCTGTAACATAATGACATCATTATGTAACGCTCACGCTTCTATTGGCTAGCGCTTCAACACATTGTACGTGATAGGCTAAGGGGCGGGACATCTCTAAGTGGTTGACCAATAGGTGCGTTCACACCGGAGTACTTTTCCCCGTACTTTTCCCGTTTGGTTCCGTTAGTGCCTGGAATTTTGCGTTCACACCAAAAAGAGAACTTAGTTCAGAGAACTTTTACCCCCATTTTTAGTGCCTGTTAGAGAGGTGGGACTATGGGGGGAAAAAAAAACAATTTCTGATTGGCTGGGCGAATTGCAAACCACGCCCCGTAAAACTCTGAAAAGTTTTGTGAAGCCGCCATTGTATTTGCTGGCATTAGCATTATTAGCATTAGCATTAGCCCAGCACACCAACGGAGAGAGACTAACTTATGGCAACACAAAAGAAAACATAGGAGCGGTGGAGATGAGGACGTGTCGGCGTTCTGGCGATTTACTCGGAAGGCTTCCTTCCCCAACTCCGGGGATTCCCATGTGAATAAATTAGGTGGGGGAAAAGAGGGTTTTGAGTTAATAACTGTATGACATATTGTATTATACAATAAAGGAAGGAATTTTTTTATGTTAGAAAAATAACTTTTGTTTGTTTTTTTTGTAATTTTTGTTGTGTATTTATTTGTTTTGTTGTTTGCTTAAATTTACCATAGTTTTTCTATTACTTTATGTTTATTTATTTGGCATTTGTGGTTCCAATACTAATTTGTTAAAGTAGGGACACTGGTTTATTATTTTCATTGGACTAATGAAACCTAATTGAGTTATAGTTTGTTATACGTCGGCAATTATTTTATCTCTTATCTTCTATAGTTAATCTACAAAAAATGACTTCACGTAATACATTCTTTTGTCTTTGTTACTCTGATCATCCCTTCTTCTACTTCAGAAAAAATAACTGAGATTCCCATGTCGATGAAAAAACAACATGGGACTAATCAACTAGGACATGGACACTACAACAATGACGAGTTTGGACGACGATACTTGACCACAAGTTAGTGACACACTTTATAGACAATAAAGAGTAATGATAGGATTATCTGAATTAACTAGACGTCAGAGTTTTTGGTATGCTTTGACATTTTAGGTCAAAATGTTAAATTACATGGGTTAATAATATGTTTTATTCTGGTGTGTAATCGAAATTTGCAAACTGAATTGAAGGTAAAGGATTTTCAGATTTATTTGGACGTAATAGAAAGAGTAAAAGTCGTCGCATTAATTTTTTTGTGCGTTTAGTGCAAACTAACACATGTTTTCTATTAGGTACTGTTATATGTATTCTTTAATATATGAGGCGGACACTTTTGTAAAATATTGTCATGATATATTGATAATTCATTAATCTACCAGTTGTAAATCTCATTTTATCTTATGGTGGTGTAAGGGTACTTCTACTCCTTGTCAGCTTACTCTTTAAAATCGGAAAGTCTGGTAACTGTACGTGTGTGTGTAACTATGTTTTTGATTGTTCTATTTCCCCTTGTTTTTTCTCGTATGATCCCAAATTTGTTGAGCTATTTATATTCTGCCTTCTATTAGACATATGTATCTCTGTTGTAAATTCTGGGATAGAAACGAATATTCCTAAGTCGTATAATGATTGTTAATACAAAAATCAACGTCGGATGAAAAGGTGTAAATTCCTAAGTTCCTCCTTCCTTGGAAATTATCTATTACTTCATCAATAAACTAGGGTTTCTTGTCTTTATGGAAACTATATCCGCCACTTGTTGATTCGATACTACAGACGGTTTTCGTCACTCGACAAAACCCACTAAGGACAAGACGTCGTTTTCGATGTTGATGTATAAATAGGGTCGACTGGGGTGTGGCCACGTTGCTGTTTTATAGGGTCTACATTTACCGTCGGTGAAAACTCCGTGGTCAGGTAGTTGTGTCGTCATTCCGTAAAGGACGTGGAGGTAAGGACAGGGCGGTCACCTCGTAAAGTAAACTGGGTAATCCAAACTATAGGTAGCAAGTCCCACGTCTGGACGAGAGACATTTACCTGACCTCGGAGAGGAGTCGTCTGTGTTGGTGACGTACAACGAATTACCAAATCACCACCACGACTAATTGTCCTCCAGTATACTGGAAAAGTCTAATTTTTAAGTTTCCGCAAGATAAATATACGGTCTAATCGATGTCGTATCAATAACCGTTACGTCTATAATTTCCTTATGGGTATTACGAAAACCCAAAAAAAGGGAAAGGACATCACACAGTATTTCCACACACACGTACATTTACCAGACGTTTTCCGAGTTTAGGGTTTAGAGGGAGGATCTTCCCTCTTTTTATTCTGGAAAGACTTGTAATTTCGTACTCGGTGCAAGTGTGGTTCATGAAAAGGCGTGAATCACGGTCGTGAATCACGGGGTACCTCGATTCATCGCTCAATAGGCGCAAAGTGGTGACCTTATTCAAGGGACCTCCCTTCTAATGTGTTTACTTCGGCGACTGGCATGAAAAAGAAGAAGACGAAACCTAAATGACCGTCCGACTGGGGTTTGGTGAAGTGGCCGCATATGACGTGGGGCTGCAGGGGNAAAGCAGAAGAAGAAGAAGAAGAAGTGAAATCAGCAGCTTCATTTGACTAATCCTCCCTCAGGGAACTTATTCCGGTGTGAACGCGATCGGCTCTTAGTTAACTAAGAGCCGATCGCGTTCACACCGGAATAAGTTCCCTGAGGGAGGATTAGTCAAATGAAGCTGCTGATTTCACTTCTTCTTCTTCTTCTTCTGCTTTGGGTTTACTGGCAGGCCGCAAACAACTTCACGGCGTATACTGCCACCCGAAGTCCCCGGAGTTGGGGACTGGCTTCAGCAGAAGCTGCTGGGAGTAAATCGCCAGAACGCCGACACCTCCTCATCTCCACAGGTTCCATGTTTTCTTTTGTGTTGCCATAAGTTATTCTCTCGCCGTTGGTAAGCGGGGCTAATGCTAATAATGCTAATGCCAGCAAATACAATGGCGGCTTCAAAAAACTTTTCAGAGTTTTACGGGGCATGGTTTGGCAATTCGCCCAGCCAATCAGAAATTGGTACTTCTTTCTCCCCAGGATAGTCCCACCTCTCTAGCAGGCACTAACAACGGGGGTGAAAGTTCTCTGAGCTAAGTTCTCTTTTTGGTGTGAACGCAAAATTCCAGGCACTAACGGAACCAAACGGGAAAAGACGGGAAAAGTACTCCGGTGTGAAAGCGCCTATTGCTACTTATTTTCAGCTTCTCAATTTATTGATTACAGCTGTTGAACATTTGACAATTCAGAGGATGTGGTGTGTTCTGCTTTGTACATGTCTAATAGCATGTATTGCACAAGGCACTAAGACATCTTATGAGTCAATAACATGCTCCACATGGATGGTCCTTATGGGCTTATAGGCCTGATTTATCTTCAACACAAAAAAGTAATCTAGAAGTTGAAGTGAACAACACAGATCTGCCACCTATGATTACAGTCATGTGATACAAGAGAAGTGCAGTGCCACTAAAGCAACACTACAGCAAGCATCAAATGCGTCACGCAGACACGGAGAACCACACTGATGTGGCTGAGTCATAATACCATAGTACAAACCAATCTAATCACAGACTGAGAAATAATAACTCATTTGTAAACTCACCGTCTCCAGATGGTTGTATGACTCTCTCTAACCCCCGTGACTGATAAAACTCCTTTATTCTTTTGTCTTCACCTGTTCAAACAGAAACATGGATGTTAGACAAACATGACAGATACGGTGACAACACTTTTCAAATGTTAAAAACACGTGTTGTTTACAATACTTACTAACGTCAACAATGAACTAGTCTAAAACATAATTTAAGTCCAGTATAACATTTCCTAAAGTGTTATCTAAGATTTCAGTGCCAAACTCTAACTATTGATCCCCATAGGAATGTATAATATAGTTCACATGTGTTTGTACATTGGTAAAGGCAGCAGTATTGTTGTACGTACTTTCTTGTAGTCCCGGCACCAGTTTGTAGACAATGTCCTGCATCACTCGGTCCAGTTTGAGGTTGAGTAAAGGCTGCGTTTCATGGATTTTGATGTTGCACATTGGACAGTACTTGCTCGTTTGCAGGTATTTTACAATACAGCTTTTGCAAACTGTAGAGCAGAGAGAAAGACAAGACATTTAATTATCATTCTGATGGCTTCAGCCAACTAGACTTCAGCCTATACTTTATGTAAATAACATTAATTATTTGGTCCAGTTTTGTTTGAACTCACATGTGTGCAAACATTCTGTAATTGTTGTGGCATCGATGAAGTAACCCGCACACAGGTAGCAGACAATGTGTTCGTTCAGGTCCTTGAGTTTCAACTTAACCTCCTCCTGTCAAGAAAAACAAACAAGTGTTAAAAAATAAACTTAACGTGTAAAGGTTTAAATGGAGCACAACTTCTTTGCACATCCAAGCTTTAAAACAAGCAAACGGCTCACCCGAAAGTAAGATAATGAGCATCAAAACACACCAATGATTCAGCCCCACATATTAGTGGTTTTCGTTATCATAATCAGCACTAATGACCCAACATTGGGTTAAAGTTAGTTATGCATCGGTCAAAAGTTGATCACGGAAAAGCCAGTTAACAATGACCTTTGCCCTACATATGCAAAGTAGGAAGGTAAACAACGATAAGAATGTAGAAATGTTTTAACCAGGAAAGCTAATGCTTCCACAAATCAGAACAAGCTTAATTGTAAATAGAGTGATTTTGACAGAAAGTGGGTTTACATTTGTTTGTTTGTACTAATGAGTCGAGTTGAGACGAACGACACGAGTTTAAACAAAACATTAAACGATAAAGAAAAAAATCAACCTGTCATGTTGACAAGCCTAAGAAGCACTTCAAAAAGTTAATTTAGACCGTGTTACTAATTCACCAGTACTTAATGTAAGGATTGGCTTGAAGTGAATACATCTGCACTTTCATTGTTGTTGTTAGTTTGAATCTTTATGGGTTTTGCACTTATTGTAAGTCAGTTTGGATAAAAACATCAGCCAACTGAAATGTCATAACAACGCGGTGTGTTTCCGTTGAACACAAACCAACGGCAGTTCAAAACAAACAACCGTTAACGTCCCAGTTCACACACATATTTCTTAAACTATAAGTAAACTCCCAAGTTAAGAAAATAAAAACAGCCCTGTGTATCCTTAAATGAGTGTGATAACATTTACTCCACCATCCTCATGATGCTGCTCCACTGTTCAGGCGGAACAACACGGGTGTACAGTATCAGTCCACGCATGCTCAAACACGGCTCTCTCCATCAGCGCTGCGGAGACGACAACCATCTCCCGCGAAAACGTGTGTTTTTCCGGCCCCTTCTGCAGTTTGCCCGCCCGTACGGTTCTGCCCCAGTGCGGAGGAGGTCGAAAAACATGCCCACTCACCTCGTTTCTCAGCGGGTCCAGTTTGTAGACGGACTGAAGCTGATTTCGTAGCCGCATCGCTATGGCCATCGGTCCTTGTTCCGCCATCTTTGGGAATTATGCTTACTTCCGGGTAAACCGGATGAGGTATTTTGAGCAAACTGAAGGAGGCGGGTAAAATGTAAACAATTAAATAAATAGTTATATACAACCAATATAAATGGGTGAATACAAAGTCACTTTATAAATAAATTGGGAAGGTAAAATATAAAAAAATATATACATATAATTAGAGGGCCACGAAACTATACAATACAAATACATATACACAACAAATATAAATAGATGAATACAAAGTACCCTAAAATTATACAAAAATAAATTATACATTACGTACATATTAAACTGACTTTACTTAATAAAACACTATTTTTTTGTATTCAAGCAAACCCAGACTTAACGTATTTTAATATATTATCCTGAAGCTTTGCTGTATGGTTTAAAAACAAATGAGATCCTGTGTTCCCCAAACTATAATTGTTTCTTGTGCCTTTTATTTTGAGCTGAACTCAGGGGTGTTCTTATGAGCTTCCCAATGTGTTTAAGAGAAACAATCCTACCAAAACATTTAAACCAACTCACTTCTCTTAATTGAATAACAAATTGATTTATGTTTTAAGAGGTTAACAATTCCTTAAATGTAGATTCAATTATCAAGGCAAGTTCTTTAGTTGATCAAACTTTATCCAACAAATCATTCTCCAGATAGATGCAAGGCCACTCTAGGATTAGCTCTGTGAACACACACTTGAGTTGTTAGTCTCTTCTCTTGGCAATAGAGGGCACTGCAGGCACACACTTCAATCAGTTGGTTGCGGCCTTTGACATCTGAGGAAGTTTATGTGTTATTAAGTAAAGCAATGTTATTCAGTGCACTCAGGAGTAATTTAGTTGTTTGGAGATGTCATTAAAATGCATGAATGTCCTTCTTTATCTGGGTGCCAGGCCTTTAACTTGTCTTTAGACATATATGCACACACAACGTTCATGTCTAAAACCAATATGCACTTTGCCATTGTATTTTAGTCCTTGTTTTACAACCCATGCAGATCCACTTATGTTGGAACCACTTATAATGGGATCAAGTAAGCTGTAAATGCACAGTAGGCTGTATTGGCATGTTAGAAGCCAGATGATAAAATGCACAGATGTCCATGGCCCTTGCCCGGTTTGAATTGATGTTGTTGTCCCATTGAAGGTACTAAAACCACATAACATGGGGAAAAGAGTGCTAAGATACCAGACCTGAAGTTGTGGGAAAACACCATTTCAACACAATCCTCAGCAACACGGAGAACATGGTGGGTCTTGTTACCTAAACCTCTGACATCCTGAGACCTACAGTACTCTGGCATCATGGAGGGTGGGCTGCTCTCGGCACTGCACGCAATCCCATTAGATCTGATCAATTATATGAGATACCTTGATATGGATCTTATCAAGATACTATATCCAATATCTGTTATAAATAAATCAATCAAAAGCACCTCAAAACCACAGAATAACACTCGGCAAATGTTGAGAATGTACAAAAAAATGAAGGTGCAAAGTGGTTCAGATTAGATTAGATAAGATGTACTTTATTGACCTCAAAATGTAAAGCTGTTTTGTTCCAGCAGCATGGTATAACTAAAAGGCTTTGCAGATAAAGGTATAAACATAGGACACATATACATACATTCCAAAAGTGTGCAAGTAAAACAAAAATGCAATGGGGTAGAGCTTGAGTATAATATCTACAAGTTATAGGGTTGTTAAAACGGGATAAACTTGTTTAAAAAAAAATTAACAATGGAGCTTGCCGTTCTTGGTTAAATGTTAAAATGAGTTTGACTTTCTTAAAAAGCACGTATTACAGTCACAATATAAACATTCATATAAGATAAGTAACGTTGAAAATAGATGTCTCATTAAAAAAAACAGAAAAGCTAAACTGAGTTTAATTGGCTTTACATATCTAAACTTTGCAGCGGTAACTCTTTCACTTAAAAGAGAGCCTGTGACTGAAGTGTTGACCCCTCCCCCCCGCCACCCCCCCCCCTCATGTTTGGGGGTTGATGAGTCCTCCCTCTCCCCTCCCCGAACAACAACCATGGAGGGGGCTCTTGAGAAAAGAACTGCACCGTTGGCTCTGTGGCAGCAGCAGAGGCCTGTGGTTGTCCTGGGCAGCTCTCAGACCCGTGTTTAAATATGTGTGATTATGAAGTAGTGTTTTCAAATGAAAGAGTGTGTGGGCTCCACAAACATTTACTTACATAATCACATGGCTTATACTGTTGGGTTAGCATTATTTAAATCAACAGTATGCATTGTGTTGTGCTGTAATTTTGGTATTTATTCAGGCTTTTGCAGTGGTGAGAAGTCTTATGGGTTTATTCATATAATTAATCCAAGGTTTTTACACAGACGTGGGTTTAAAGTAGTTTATTTTTCCGCACATCACTTACAATTATTTAAACATGGTAAAATGCAAAGTAAAGCCTTGTGGAAAAATGTTCAAATGGGGAAGAAAATGTATTATTGGTTGAGGCTGAGTTAGCGCCTACCCTGTTTCAACAGGTCGACATATTGGTATTATATGTGGAGGTCTCCTTGATCCCTCCCAGAGGGCTTCCAACCTGTGGACCACCCAAAAGCTGCCGTCCCAAACAAAGACTCGCCCTTCATTCATCCTTTTGTAATTTCCCGGTGTAACAGAATGACTGGCAAGTTTGTCTAATTCCAACCACCTCAGTGAGGCTGTCGCAGCGCAAACGGCTATGTGCAACCCATTTATTGTGACAGTTAAATATGGCATGAATGCAGAGAAGATGAACTTCATCCACTGCCTTATAACGTTAGCTTTCCAAGTGTGTGTGCAGGTTTAACAAAGCTTCTTTCATTCCTTAAAGTCTTCCCATTACCCTTCATTATTTAGAGAAAGAGAACATGTTACACCTTGGATTTTTTTTTCTTTGTTAAGATGAAAGGACAAGCACTTGCCAATGAAGTGAGAATCAGATTCAGTCAATCTAAATTGGGAAAAAAATAAAAAGGCACAAGCAATATATTTTCCCTCTTGGCAGCCTTTTTCAGTTTGAAGAGCCGTTGTGATCAGTCTCGCTTCACCGAGCCTTCATAGTCAGGCCTTGTGTCCCCTGCTGTCTGCCATTTCCTCTTGCCATGTAACGTCTTATCTGCTGGGCCCGCGAGGTCACTGCTTATCTGATTGACAGGGCTTTGACTCCACGCAATATCCAAATAACCTGAGGGCCTGGAGGCGCAGGAGGATCACAGCGTGGTAAAATCCAACAGTCGGGAGAGAGTGAAGGAAGAGGCAAAAGAGCCGACGAGAAGGGAGAGGATCAAGACGGATCCAAGCCTTTCATTTGTTGTCATTGATTCATGTCAAAATCACGGACAATAGAAGGCCTATTTGCTTGAAGAGTCTCCCGTCCTTCACTTTTATTGGGAATGACTCATTTATCTGATGGATCAAACACCTGCCAGGACTACAAAGAGGGTGCAATTATGAAGAATTTGAAGATTACTTTTCAATGAGAAATGACAGATATACAAAAGCGAGGACTTATTACAAAGTTCTCCTCTCTGTCTGTACGTGGGATGGATGTAAGCTTTTACCCCGCGCAACGAAATCATGCATGAGGAAACTCCTTGAAACCATGAGGGTCTGAATCAACTGAAAACTCACTGAGCTGATAGAGACCCCATTTACCTTTGTCCTGGACATCCTGTGCCAAAACAACCACACAACCACCCTGCTACTCGAATCCACGGTCCGCCATGCCAAAAGGAGGCCCCCATCACTCTCTCTCTCTCCCTCTCTTGTCGAACAATCAGAGCATGCAGGGATGGACTGCAGCTTTTGTGTCTTTTGCTCCAGCAATTGGCCGCCAAGTGGCAAGCTAATGACGAGAGCCCTCTTGGAATGACTCCAGCGAAGTACAGCTTGTGCTGCCTGATGGGCAAGGGCATAATGGATGATGTAGGGCAAGCCCTTACGCCTCCCCCCTGGCACCAAACCCAACCTCCCAGTATCACAATCTAAATCACCTCCAGTGCCGGACAAAATACATGGACAGGAATTTGTATCATTAGGAAAATTAAGCCAGGATTTTTTGGATGAGTCACATATTCGCATAGCATGCAAACATACAAAGTGCAATGAATGAAGGAGTCAGATACAGTGTGAAAGAAACAAATACACAAGAGACAGATGTTTATACAAATAACTGTTTATAATAACACAAACAACTGGACACTATGTTTGTACTGTGAGGTTTCAATTATGTGCATCACATTAAAGGGGCCCTATTATGCTTTTTGAGGTTTTCCCTTTCCTGTAGTGTGTGTTTTGGATGCATGTAAATGGTCTGCAAAGATTTAAATCCCAAAGTTCTCTCCTTTGTTTTTCTATTACGTAGTGACATGACTATGTAACACTAGCGCTTCTATTGGCTAGCGCTTCAAAACATCGTACGTCGTAGGCTAGTGGGCGTGACAACTGTAAGCGGTTGACCAATCAGAGCAGACTGGGTGAAAAGAGGTGCTGCAGCACAGGCAGTCTGAGAAAAATAATGAGCTTTTTGAATATTATAGCATGGAGACATGTCACAGGAGAGACTGTACATACAAATGTCAACTTGAAAAACACCATAATGTGTCCTCTTTAATTCGCACAGATCAACATGAGACACACTAATTGAAGCTTATTTCCTTAAGCCTATATGAATAACATAATTTATTTTTGGTCGGTACGTGTCGTTTCTTGCTATTCAGCTTGTTATAGTGAAACTGAATTCGTACATTTGATCATTAAAGCACTTTTGACATTCGTCTCTTTTGCAATGGGTCACACGCATGCAACTAATGAAAATAGATCGTGCACATAGAAATCTTTGTAGTTGCTTTGACCATAACTCTATTTTTCTGCTGTTGTAAAAAACCTTTTGTGAAAGAGAAGTGTTTAATTTACTAATAAAGTGCAACTGCAACTTTCACATATCCCTGCCTGTGGGAAGTCAGGATGTCTTTGAAAGCTGTAGTCCTCAGTTAAGATAAGCTAGAGGCCAAATAATGAA